TTAAAGGTTTAAGTGACCAGAATGGGGATAACCCAGTAGAAATCTCATAGTTGGAAATGCAAAAGACTTTCAGAGAGAGAGAGAGAGAGAGAGAGAGAGAGAGAGAGAGAGAGAGAGAGCACACAAAGTATAAAGGAAGGAGCGTGGGTTTTGGTTTAAGTAGACTTAGGTTGAGTCACAACTTTGTCACTCACTACTCATGTAGTGTCCTTAGACAAATCACACAGATTCTTTAAACCCCAGTTTCCCAATATGCAAAATGGAGCAAACACTAGCTTACACATGGAGTTATTATAAGCATTAAATAAGATAATGTTTACGTACCTTTATGATGAGCCATCATAAAGAACTTAATGTGATGGTACCAATCTCATCGTTCAGGAAGCACAGATTCAAATATCCAATGCTGAGTCCTTGGCAAGGAGTGGGAAGATGTTAATGAGTGTGAAGCAGTGACCTGATGTCAGAGAACCTGGAGTACTAGAGAGAAGACAAAGGCAGGGATGATGATGACAAAGATAATAATTACTGTAGCTCCCTCTGAAGCGCAGAATACTTAATCACTGGATTAAGTGATTTCCTAGGACCAATTAAAGTATTTACTTATAATCTTAAAAATCTTCTTAGAAAAACATTAGGCTTCAGTTAACCTCTTGACTGAGTAAATCCTTCTTATCTCTGAAAGAAGTCAGAATCTCTGGAATATTTTACTTGGTATTATATGTACCAATGTGAAAATTACACCATCTCATGGAACAACTTCTCTACCCACAGCGAGCAAAATATGAAGTGTTAACTCTGTGCACTGAGTCTGCAGAGAAGCTCAGGGTACAATGAGTGAAGCAGAAGAGGGGACATGGGACCATTCTTGGAGGGCAGGGAGAGCTTCAAGAAAGTGATAAGATGGCCCTAGAAGGGAGGAAACAGGAACCTGAGAGGAGGTGGATAGCTCATAGATATCACTGCAAGGAAGTAGTAGGAGTTGTTCAAAAAGAGATTGTAATGGTTTAAGAAAGAAAGAAAGAAAGAAAGAAAGAAAGAAAGAAAGAAAGAAAGAAAGAAAGACAGACAGACAAAGGCTATTTGTAGCCATGGATTATATTTGGAGAGTCAAGGAAAGAGACAGTTGCTATAGATCTGGAAAGAATAACAGTAAGAAAGTATCTACTTCCACAATGTAGGATGCAAGGGGAATTCCTAGCTGAGGCAAACGAGATATGGCTAAGAGTGAAACAGAGCCCCAGTGTCAGAAGGTTAAAAGTGCTAGGGATAGGGGCACCTGGGTGGCTCAGTCGGTTGGGGGGCCGACTTCGGCTCAGATCATGATCTTATGGTCTGTGAGTTCTAGCCTCACTTCGGGCTCTGTGCTGACAGCTTGGAGCCTGGAGCCTGCTTTGAATTCTGTGTCTCCCTCTCTGCCCCTTCCCCATTCACACTCTGTCTCTCTCTTTCAAAAATGAATAAATGTTAAAAAAAAATTTTTAAGTGCTAGAGATGAAAGGAGGTATTCCAACTCAGGAGACCCTGATGGATTCTATTACCAGGTATAGATTCTATTACAAGGTAGGGAGATGAATTTATAGTAGATACTGATGACAGAGTAGATGTCTAGATGCGGAATATTTATTTCTACACTAAAGAACTTTAAAAAGCCCTCTCTGAAAACAGGATTCCCCTCGATGCCAGAACAAGATAGAGGCTGCTGGTATTAACTTCAGTAAAACAGCTGGGAAGTCTGGAGGGATGAGGAGGGAAGAATCAGTTCCTTCCATTTGGGGTAGTTTTCAAGCTCAGAACATCTAGAAGGTCTGGGCCAAGGAAGCTGAAAATTCTCAAACTCTGTGAGAGACTAAAAATAACTGAAAATTATGTATGTATGTACTTATTTATTTATTTAAAGATTTTTCTTATTTTTCAGTAATCTCTACACCCAACATGGGGCTCAAATCTACAACCTCGAAATCATCAGTCACATGCTTCACCAACTGAGCCAGCCAGGCACCCCTGAAAACTTATTTTTAAATGTGTAAAGTGTTGCTTTAGAAGAAGAGCAATCAATTACCTTCCCCACCCAAAAGATAACCACAGCTACAATTTTTTTTTTTTTAATTTTTTTTTTTCAACGTTTATTTATTTTTGGGACAGAGAGAGACAGAGCATGAACGGGGGAGGGGCAGAGAGAGAGGGAGACACAGAATCGGAAACAGGCTCCAGGCTCCGAGCCATCAGCCCAGAGCCTGACGCGGGGCTCGAACTCACAGACCGCGAGATCGTGACCTGGCTGAAGTCGGACGCTTAACCGACTGCGCCACCCAGGCGCCCCCACAGCTACAATTTTAATATGCCCTTCACAGAATTGAAATATTGTGTCCTCTTTATACTGTCACTAATCAAAGGATAGCATTTTCATAGTGGTTTAGAGTTCCAAAGCCCTGAACATGTTCATTATTTTTAAATTTTATTTTCTCAATATCTCTATGACGTAAGTGAAACACTATGATCAGGCATATTTTCAGATAGAGAAATGGAAGTACATATGAATGATTTCATTAAGGTCTTAAAACCACTTAATATAGACAAAGCCAAACTCTGGGTCCAGGTCAAGCCCCAGCTGCTCACCGAGCATGAAGGTGAGAGAAGAATCTTCTAAACGATGCTCTTTGGTAATCTTGTCCCTGGGCAATCTTGGATATCAAGTCCATCCTACCTATTGTCCTAGCTCCTGTGCATTGCTGTTCTTAGGAGTAGGGTCAGCTCCATGTAAAATTTCAAAGTTTATTTTCTCCATCTTGCATCTCCCTTTACGCTGAAGGAAAGTTGTGCATTGAGAAGGGCAAAACTTTGGATCTGGGCTGACTTAGATTCTGATCCCAACTCTAAGACTCTGCCATTTCTGCCAAAGTACTCACCAGCACCTACACGTTAGTTTTCTAACTTGAAAAATGGAAGATGCCATACATATTTTGGAAGGTTTTCAGCTCTTTTTTTAAATGTGGGTTTTTTGTTTGTTTTTGAGAGAGAGAAAGCATGTGCGTGAGCAAGCATGGGAGAGAGAATCTTAAGCAGACTCCATACCCAGTGGGGAGCCCAACACAGGACTCAATCCCATGATTGTGAGTTCATGACGTGAGCCACAATCAAGAGTCAGAGGCTAACTGACTGCACCACCAAGGCACCCTGTGTTTTCAGCTTTTTAAATGTAGTGACATATGCAAAGCAGTTAGTCTAGTGTCTGGCACATAGTAGACATTCAATAACAATTGGCTTTCTAAAAAGACATTTTCTCCTTCTCAAACTATTACGTTCCTCCTTGGATTTAAGGGAGCAATACTGGCTCCATTTTGCAGACAAGCTATAAGGTTAAAATCATTTCTCAGGGCCATATATAAGGTAAGTAAAGATGGGATTAGGCCCTAGGTTTCCCAACACTTGTCACAGACATTTATGGTGGCCTGTGTCACATTCTCTCAGCTGGACTCTGATTGCAGCCATTGTTACAGTGGATGGTTCCTATTTGCAGAGAGCATCCTGTTTCTGGTGTTCACTGTCCCCTGTCTAGCTTCTCTGCCTCAAGTTTCTTTCTAAAGCCCCCAGGAGTTTCCAAGCAGGAGAATTCTGAATGTATGGACCAGTTAAAGCCCCTAAGGGCACTCCTCAACAAAAGGAAGATGGCAGCCAGTGGACAGATGCCAGGGCCTCTCTTTCCCTGGACAGATAATCCTGAAATGCACAGTGGGAGCCATCACCCCATCTTAGCTTTCCTCTTCCATCACATTCTTTTTTTACCCTTAATCCCGTTTCCTGGGATGATCTCACAAATAAACCACCTGCATTTAAGTCCTTGTCTCAGACTACATCTTGGGAACTAATTGCAGGGGGGTGGGGGGAGGGAGTTGTTTTTATTTTCATTTGTTTGTTCTATTTTCATTTGTGTTTGCAGTGCATTTCTCTTTATTTCTCCATAGGTCACCAAGATGCTGGCAGTGGTTGTAATTCTGTTTGCCCTTTTATGGATGCCCTACAGGACTCTTGTCGTTGTCAACTCGTTTCTCTCCAGCCCTTTCCAAGAAAATTGGTTCTTGCTCTTTTGCAGAATTTGCATTTATCTCAACAGTGCCATCAACCCAGTGATTTATAATCTCATGTCCCAGAAATTCCGTGCAGCCTTCAGAAAGCTCTGCAACTGCAAGCAGAAGCCAGTGGAGAAACCCGCTAACTACAGTGTGGCCCTAAATTACAGTGTCATCAAGGAGTCAGATCATTTCAGCACAGAGCTTGATGATATCACTGTCACTGACACTTACTTGTCTGCCACAAAAGTGTCTTTTGATGATACCTGCTTGGCTTCTGAAATAACCTTTAATCAAAGCTGATTCATGAATAAGAAGAAAATGGACCACAAAGTAAATGAGAATCTGTGCCGTTATCAGCCCAAGAGGAAACAGCCAATACTTGTACGTGAAGACAGAGCAGATAAAGTCTTTGCCAACGTTCTAATAAATCCTGGCCCAAGATACTTTAACACATGATTCATATTTTCCTTCTAGTATCACAAAAATGTTTCACAAAAAAATGAAGCAGATTTGTGAAAGAGCCAAATGGTAGAAACTGACAGTGAAGCTCTTTCCATTTAATTTGAGAAACTCACTATATTTCCTGGGGCTGCGAAGTTTAGATAAAATCTAGACATCGATTTAACATTATTCATAATAAATGTAATTTCTCAAACTCCCCCAAATTACTTGTCCATTTGGTAATTTGCAACATGTAAGTGTTTAAATGATTGCATTTAACATTTCATTTTAACAAAGTACAGTGCTATTTCATGCATCTCTGAAACTACAGGGGAAAATAGAAAAAAATTGTTTATTGAGTAAAAATGAGATTTCAGACAAATATGTTCACTATATGAAAAACAAAAACAAATGTCATAATGCTTATAAAATTCTGAGATGATTTTTTTTAATTCAAGTACAGCTGGCACACAGTGTTACATTAGTTTCAGGTGTAAAACATAGTGATTTGACAGCTGGATATGTTATGCTGTGCTCACCAGAAATGTAGCTACCATCTGTCCCCGTACAACACTATTACAATAGGATCGACTATCTTCCCTATGCTGCACCTTTCATCCCCTGGAAGATTCTTATGTCTTATAAAGTAGATGTCATCATTCAACTTTAATGGAAAATAAACCTCAATATAGCTGGAATTACAAGTTGGGAAGACATGTAGATTTCATTTTTAGATGAATCCGACTCTGAACCAACTCTTTGAAACTCCTAAATGATGGGTGAGACAGGAGAAATCTATTAAATAACTATGAAGATACAAACTAATGTGTGAGTAATATTGAAATGCAGAGACAGGACAAGAGTGAGTATTTAAAATAAGGTTTTACTCTTTCTCTAAAATTTTTAAGGAAGAAAATCCTTTTTGAGCATTCTTTGTGTATAAACTACTGAGCCATGTCAAGCGAATCCTTCTAGTCAATCTAGCTTAAAAAGTTTGAAGCATGCTCAAGAGCTTTGTTGCTGTTATAAGTCAGCCAGAGTCTGACTATTACACTTCCAGATGAAGACTCCCCACAGAGCATTGTAGTCTACGGACTTTTAATTTGTCTGCAACCACCTTTCCTTCCCACCTGCTTGTCATTTGTAGATTTGGAAGATTGTTGTTGTTGTTGTTGTTGTTGTTGTTGTTGTTGTTTTTATGCTAGTGATATTTTGTTTACAGATTTTAAGTCAAAACAATGCAAAAGTCTGTCGGCTTTACTTTCAATAGAGCTAAAACTGATTTCATCTCATTATTGATATCTTTTTCTAGGTATGACTTAGACCTGCTATTCTATTCCTGTGATTATGAGAGAGGTATGAATGTGAATCTGTCCAAGACATAGTGTCAAGATCCTACTTTAATTCCTTCCAGATGACTCACCTACTGGTATTTGGTCAATCAGCATCTCCAAGTGTATCTCCTTGGTGATGGTTCAGTAATATTTCATTTTTGATGACACAGTCAAAAAGTCCTGGGTGCCCCATAGACTGGCATCTTCCTTGCTCCAGCCAATATTCCTATTTCATGGATTTTTTTTGAGACCTAATTGCTAATGACAATGACCCCTCCCCACCTTCTTTATGAAGAATACATCATTTCTCTGTTGGAAACTTCAGTTTTAAAATGCTGCTACATGGAGACTGCTATCTAGAGCATCAGAGCAGAATATGCTTTTGAGAAAACTGGCCTCATCTCCTCCAGGAAGACATTCTTATCCTGTCCCTGTATGAGTAAGCAAATGCAAGCAAATATCTATAGGAAATACACTAAAAGTCTATTTGTATGATACCAAGAAATCTATTTTAACTGACTTTTCATCCTGGACTAAATATTAAGCTTAGAATCATATGAATAGAAGCACCAGAGTGACCCAACCCCAAATCACACAGGCACATGTGCAGATGCATACAAACTCATACTCACATGTGCATAAATTGCTTAACAGAAGGCATTGGAATATATTAGCTTTTTTCATTAGGGAAAGGAGCTGATATCATTGAGCATCTACTGAGCATGTCTCAGGCTTGCTGGTAGGTACTTAAATCACATTATCTTCATCACAGTCTCACTATAGCTGTGATTTATTTCTCTGATGCTAAAACCAAGGATCAGGGATTGATACAGCTTCTCTAAATTGTGTAGATACTGAAAATGAAAAATGTGTTTCTTTTTTGTTTCTCTTTTTTCAATCCAGCATGCTAATAGCAGCTTGTGAACTGATGGCCTAAATAACTAAACTATATATATATATATATAC